CTGCTGAGATAGGACCATTCTTCTAGATCTAAAAGTATGATCCAATTAGCGCGAAGGAAACTTCCAACAGTTGCAAAACAAACGTTCTGCTGAACGCAGCCATTGATGCATCATGCGTTTAACGGAACGCACCCCAGAATGCACTATATATTTCTGAATAGAACGAGGTTGTCTTCGATATATGTAGGTTATGAATCTTGGAAAGTGTGAAAAGATATCCTATAACATTTTTTACAAAAAATATTTAATGAAAAGTACGTCTTATGACAGAAACATTACATTTTTACACAAGGTATTATAAAACGGAAGACTATGGCTAGGCAAATGACGCAACGAATGATTGTGAATCTTCTGCTGAAAGCTCAGCCTCAGCCTTTTTTGAAACCGACTCTGCCGCTATACATGAACGGTTATTCGCCCTTTGTCAAGGCCGTTTTGCAGAATAGAATGCTGTGCAAGCATGTAGAAATAGTGGATCACACCTGTAAGATATCAAATTACAGTGATTACCTCACAAATTACAAGCCGAATCAGCGGATCATGAGGAATACTCTTCAAGAATTACTGAGTATGACGGGAAAGGATTTTAGCAAACTTATCAACAAGCATCCACAGCTGAAGAAGAGATCTAGGGCAGATATTCTGAACAATTATTATAATCTAATAAAGGCTGGCATACAAAAAGACACTATCATAAACAACACCTGGTTACTGACACACGAAAGCAATAAATTGACAAATAAGCTTGACTGTATCAAAGTTCTAAATATGGATAACAACCAGCTTATACCATGGCTATGCTTAACCCAAGATGAACTAGCAATCTATGTATTTTATACTCAAGAGGATATGGAGCCTTATACATATAATAGACTGGAATATCTTTCTCATAAATTAGAGGTACGAGTAAAACTAATATAAGATTCCAAGTTATCAAATATAATTATATACAATGTTCTTAATAAACTAATACTGCAAATTATTTTTGAGACATTCTATAAAAAGAAATTTTTCTTAAAAAAAACTTTTACTTGTGTGGAACATGAAAGATAAACTTCGATTATTTGTAGAACAAAAATTTGAGTAGAATTAAGATAGAAATTGTTGGATAGTGATATATTATGTTATGCAGCATATTTTATGTGTTACAAAATTGAATTTTTTTTCTAGTGTAGCATATATCGATTATGTGAAATAACAGTACCAAATTCATTCTTATTAAAAATACCAATTTCTTCTATAGATAAAAAATTGAATATATTATACGGTAAGTTAATAAGCAGAATTAAATAATAAGGTTTAATAATATTACTGATACTAAAGGCAGCTGTGAAATTTTTTTATTTGCTTTAATTATTGTGGCATTAGATGTTTCCTTGCAAATATGCTGTAGATAAGATTATGCTTGCCTTCTCTCTATTTTCTTATTTAATTTCTATTTAATAGCCACAAATACTTATTTGTCTCTTCCAATAAATATTGCATATAGCAAAACATTCATAGTGACCTATGTACATACATATTTGTGAATTGATAAGTGAATTAGTAGTAAAATATAAAATTATATGTTTAAAAAGATTAATTTTAAATAACTTTGCCTTCTGCAGAATATAATATACAAAATAAAGATATATTAAAAGACACATGGGTGCTTCGATACAGCAAAAATTACATACGTCATAAATGTGAATTATATAAAGATACAGGAAGGTTAAAGATAAATACATGGGCTATACGATGTTCGTTTCAAGTTATATCAAGGTACGTTAATAAGATAGAATATGAAAAATACCTTATTTTTAATATTTTTCATTATATTTTTTATGAAATTTTATATTATTGTATAATTTCAAGTTATTTTTATTTTAAAAAATTACATTTCAAACATTGTCATTTTATTAACTTCTTACAGTTTCTATTAACTTTTTGCATTTATTTATATATATATATTTAGTCTTTAATTCATACAAAATGAAAACAGATATTTCAACAAATGTATTGCACATATATTGGAATATCTAGAAATAGAGAGTATAAAATTCATTTGTTCACATGTAGGGCCATTCAAAAGAATAAGGTGAAACGTAGCTTAATGCAGCATTATGGAAATGTTAGCGACTATTTGCAAAATAAGTTGAAACTCGACGATGAGGTGCTCAATTCATTGGTCCAGAAAGTACCAAGTATTTTACGAGTGAATATAGCGAAATTGAATCAGTTAATCAATATACTACATCAGAATGGCATTACTAACGATGAAATATTACGGCATTCACGAATTTTTTTCAATATAGATACTATACAGAATCGAATTGCGATTTTAAAGAAGGCAAATCTTGCTCTAAAAATTACTGTGCTAATAAAATCTGAGCAAAGCTTTGATCAGTGTGTAAAATTTACAAAAATATAGAGAAACTTATAGTATAATATACACAAACCGCCAATTATATTATTTATTTTTCATATAGGTATATAGAGATGACTAATGAACGGCAGAAATTGTTGCAAGAACATGGAAGCTTTAAGAATTACTTAATCAACACATTAAATGTGGAGGAAAAGCATTTTGAAGAAGCAATTACAAAATATCCATCTATTCTACGAATGAATTTTAAAAAATTGCCCGAATTGATCGATTTGTTACGACAAAATGGTATAACGAGTGATGACATAGTAAGTCATCCAAGAATTTTGTATATATCTATTAATACGTTGCGTAAGCGAATTGAAATGCTGAAAGAAAACAATATACCGCCAAAAGTCAATTTATTAATAAGTAAAGAATCTTTGATCGATATATGAAACACAATACACAATTCAGAATACATAATTCGAAAAATATTAATACAGATTAATACTTATTAAATTTATTTCTTTAATTTAACTATTTTTATAACGCGCAAACTAAAGTACAAGAATGTACTACATAAATTTCAAATATAGAATAAATATTAAATATAAAAGGAGTGGTCAAACAAATTTATTAACTATGTTATTAATACAAACTCGGAATATATATCGAATAAAATACGATTAATCATCGTTTATATCAAATATTAATATAGCATTATATGTTCTGGAATTTCTTATATAGGTAATTTATTTACTTCAAACATTCATAATCTGTGATTGATTTAAAGATGAAAACAGGTAGTTTTGCTAAGTTGATATTTTATTAGGTTTCCATTTTTTGCTAAATTAAAATACTTTATTTTTCTTTTGCATCTCATTTATTGACACATATACATATATTTATTAATACATATATTAAGAAAAAGAAGACATATTTTGATCAATATGCAATAGTTTCAAAAAATTTACCCTCAACTATATATATATATATATATATGTAATGTGTTTTCTTTTGCATCTCATTTATTGACACATATACATATATTTATTAATACATATATTAAGAAAAAGAAGACATATTTTGATCAATATGCAATAGTTTCAAAAAATTTACCCTCAACTATATATATATGTAATGTGGATGTAAAGTCTTTAGGCCTTTTCCCCACTTATTTTGAGTAATTTTCTTTTAGAGAAATAAAATTTGATTCTATGCACATAATAACATCCTCGACACAATTACCCATCTATTCGTACTTATTGTTAAAGGAACATGCTAACAGCCTAACAATGGAAAAGATCTCCGTATCCGTATTCGACAAATAAAAACAAGTCTCGCAGAGATTATCCCGCAAAAAAGGATAGATAAGAGATGTTTTTTATTCCTATATTAACTGAATTAGAACTCTCTTTTTCTCGCTTTTGACAAATATCGAACATATATCTATTTCACTTTAAGTTTCAAAAATACTAGTTCAGCCAAAGAAAACCTAATTTGAGCATGTTTGCTTCAGAATTAAAGCTCCTGTTTGCTCACAAGTACTATTTCTGATTGTGATGTTAGAAGCAAGATAAAACAATAGAAACTTTTGCAAAATATATTATTATGGAAATATGTTCCAACACTTACAGTCGATAGAACTCAATTATGAAATATACCGAACGCTCCTTTTGTTTCGTTAATTAATAAATAATCATATAGCTGGAAATAAATTATACGTGTAAATATTATATAACCAAAAACGAGAAATAAACTACATTCATAACACTATGACAAATTAATAATATAATTAAGAATAAGAATAATATAGTTAAGAAATAAATATGATTTTTGAAGAGATTCAAAATGCATTTTGTCCAAAATTTCATTTTTTAAGTTAGAGATGACATAGTATTCAATGTTGAAAGACTCATATTATAAGCTACTCTGAAAAAATGCTTTCTGAAAAACTTCAGAAAGCATTTTTTTCATCGTTATATTTCATCGTTTTCCTTATATTTCACTGGAGACATTACCGTAATAAATCTATTTTAGCGATTATAAAAATGTTAAAAAATATTTCTATTAAAATATAATTTTTTTTAGATTGGTCACAATTTTTATTGTTTTCTCGCTTCTGACATAATTTCAGATAGTGATGAAAACAAAATGGAGAGTAATTATTTTTACTTCTCTTCATTTTCATCTAAAAATAGTAGAAGTCCCTAAAAACTTTTTTTTACATCCACTAATGTACAGTTAAACACCACAAAATAAATAAACGAATGATAATTGTGAATATAATATGATTACCAATCTTTTCTAATAAATGGGTTCGTTCACAAGTTGACAAAGCGGCTAGCCTGCTCGCCAAGCAAATGAACATAATTGATTGTTACTTATAGATCCAACCAATCACATTCAATTGTTCGGTAAGCATGCCTAACTGCTTTGCCGTCTTGAACTCGTCCAATGTGCATTAAAAAAATAATTAACTTTCTAAAGTCATCCAATCTTTTAAAAATACAAATGATATTGAAAGACTCCTTTATTTATTTGTCTGTAGCATTTAGGTTATGACCATTGATTTCTGTCATTCCGCTATTTCTGCAAAATTTAAATAAATTCGATAAATGATTGTTGTTCACAATTGAAAAACTCCCATGGCATAATTCCTTTTTTAAAGAGGATCCTATTAGATCGGGATGGCCAATTAACTTTGTTCCTATTTTTAAATCATCTAACCATATTGTGTTTCCAAGATGAAGGCGAACCTGTAAATAATTCATTCAAATATTTTTCTGCTCTCACATATTTTTCCTTCATAATTATGAAAGACTCTTACTTCTCCAATAATATAAGACCTTTCATCGAAATTTTCTGAGAACCACTTGTGCACCTGTTCATTAGTATAATGATTCCACATATATTCCTCATCCCAAGGAACTAAATTAGCTAAAAATATTTCGACAACATGTGTTGGGAGATCTAATAATTTCTTTGGGATGTGCATTAGTTTACGTACCTAAAATACAAAACCGAATAATACATTTATAAGAAGATAAGTTATAAATAACATACTTCCATAAATTCACATAATCATATCTCATATTTAATATAAAGTCATATTATTTTTTGAAAAATATGCATGTTGTTAAAAAAAAAGTTTAATATAGAAAATTCGAATATAATGTAAAATAATATAAAATAATCTTACATTAATGTGTTCATGTACAATACCACTGTCGATACATCTCACATTTACGAATTTTTCATCTTCAGAATAAACCTTATCATATCTGATGCATATAATTTGTACTCGTTTAAATGTATCGATAGTTTCCTCCAAAACACAGATATCGCCTACATTCGTCGAAGTAGACATTTTCCTATAATTGATTATTAAGAAAATATATTATTTTCCTATAATTAATTATACTAAGAAAATATACTATATATAGAAATTTAGGGAATATATACAGACAAATATTTTTAAAGTCGTGAAATTGTTCAGTATATACCTGTTTTCGATATTTCCGTAATAATTTTGTATTTCTCCCATATTTTGCATATATTCTATGTTGGAAAATGTTATTTTTTTTGATTCATTAGAATGTGGAATATGTTCAAGAATTCTTGCAGAAAAATGTGTCGTATCGTGAATATATGTCACTATTAATTTCACCTTATCATCTCTGTGCAAACAAGAGCTTAAAAATATTAAGTAACGAATATGATGGGCTAATAGAAAATTACTTACATTTGTATATTTGTCATTGGTACATCAACTTCAGAAAGGACACAATGTCTAAATACACAGACATTTCGTGTTTGGCAGAAGCCAAATGATTTTATATTATCACATAGAGCATATTCTTTCTTATTCCTCTCTAATTCAAGAGCCTTTTGCTGGAATCATATTTCATTATAAATAAAAATCATGATAAAAATATTTTGAAAAATAACATCTAGCTTACCTGAATATAGTCCAATATAATCGGCTCTATTACAATGTTCATTCGCTGTAGTATTCTTACTATACTTAATAACTGTATAGTGTTGTTCTCGTCAACAATAATACTACTTTTACAATTAGACGAATCCTTAAATTTATATTGGATTAGTTATAGAGTATTTAATATAAGCGTAATAATTTGCTTACAGTGCAAAATAAAAAAGCAATCTTGAGTTCTCATTTAATAATTACCTCCGTTAAATTGTCTAAAAGTAAAGAAAACCTATAATTGAATTGATTTTTTAATTTTAATAATACAGAAAAATGTATCAGCCACTGAATATTAGTAAAATTCAGATCAGACAGGACTGGATCAGTACATATCAGTACTGGATAGAAACCACAAACACATGCCATCCAACTTTCTCGTAAAGCTGCAAAATACAATAATTAATTGTCAAAAAGGCCAAAAAACATTTAATATTAAATCAACAATAAAATAAAACATTAGGTATAAGATAAAGCATTTCTTAATGTGATTAAAATTTGTTATTGTACCTCGTATAGCAGATGATTTCATTTTGTCATGAATTAGCAGAGTTTTCTTTGTCAAAATTAAAAAGGTATTTAAGTCTTCAGCTTCTTCGGCGTTCGTACATACTATCGCTGTTCTCATCGTGAGATACTCATTTTTTGACAGTAGATCTAACATTGAAATAATTTCGAAATATTAGAAATATATTTTGCGTAATTAATGAACGCTGATACAGCCAAATGTTGATATTTATAAGTTTTCTTACCGACTATTTTTTTATGCTTGTATCCAATGTTTACACTGTATAGTTTTAGACTTATAGATTTAAAAACCACAGCTTCTATGAATGATGCGATGCATATATATGGATTATACATCACTAGATGTACAAATTTTTTAATCTCGGGCGTCCAGTTTGTTGCAGATACAATTATCTGCAATATTGGTTTATTACCTTCTTGTGGTTCACGGTTCTCGATTATCTTGTGCTTTTTGAAGAGTTCTCCTACCTATTAAAAAAATTTAGAAAACTTTAGAAATTTTATCTCTCTATGATAAGTAATACTAAATATATTATAAGTGTTCACTGACCGAATTGTAATATTTATCCAAAATTACATCGGCGTTGTCAAGTATTAAATAAGAAAGTCGGTCAAATAACAAACTACCTTTATTTTTATTTAAGAATCGAACTAGATATCGCGGCGTAGTCACTAAAATTTGACAGCCATTATGTATCATTGCCTGAAAGAAATAAAAATTGAAGAATGAGAATAGTTTCTTATATTTTCTTCACCTTTTTGGTACAACAATATCCAATAACACTTGTGATTATGAAGAAATCTTCATATATCATCTTTTTGTGGCGTTTTCTAAATAATTGATTTGTGTATAAAAATTTTCATCTATTGATAATAATAGAAAAGACATTTAAAACATGTTTAAATAAAAAATTCAAAGTTATGAAATATAAATTACTTTATTAGTAGAAAAACAAATGAGTAAAATTCAATTTAGAAAAATTGATATAAAAGTTTCAAAGTGTGAAATTAC